GTTATTCTGAAACTTTCTTTGTTCTCCAACGGATATATAGTTAAATGGTCGTGCTTTGCTACGGGCAATGAAGTTTTTTTTTACAACATACGGGCAATGAAGTTGATGTCACCAGCAGCTTCGTCAATGGCACCAATCAAGGCTGCAACATACTGTGCGTTTGGACCTTTGGCATTCCTCTTTGTAATCGTCGATTGAACCACATGAATCCTTTGGCCTTCCATGAACCGCCACGGCCACGCCGGTGAGCACTACTCACCTGTGCTATGAATTCGCCGCCCACTCACAACTCCAGCTCTACTTGAATGCGTGCATGATCATCAATTCGCCGCCGCACCCCATCCCCTGTCATCTGCTATTTATAAGCCTCAGCTCGATCCCGGCTGAACCACCCCCTCCATCCATCTTCTACTCCGGCCAGAACCACAAAGACCACGAGCGTGCACAAGGTCGAGCACCTAGCAATCAGGCAATGGCAATGGAGGCGGCGGCGGCGGCGGCACCACGCCCACGTCACACTCTCACCGCCGTCGTCGTTGCGCTGGCGGCGGCGCTCCTTGTCTTCGCCCACGGCGTCGTTGCCGTGACGCCGCCACGTGCCGTCGCCCCCGCCGCCGCCGTGCGGCCCTGGGTGGCGCGCCTGCAGGTCCTGCACGACCTGTCAACGACCTCCCTCGACGTCGACGGCGGCGCCGGTGCCGGCGAGCAGCAGCAGGGCGGGGGTGGGTTCGCGGAGTGCTGGGGCGCGGTGATGGGGCTGAGCTCGTGCTACAGCGAGATCCTGCTCTTCTTCGTCAACGGCGAGTCCTACATCGGGCCCGAGTGCTGCGTCGCCATCCGCGGCGCCACGCGATACTGCTGGCCCGCCATGCTCGCCTCCGTCGGGTTCACCGCCGAGGAGGCCGACGTCCTCCGTGGATTCTGCGACGGCGAGGAGGCCGCACACCAGCTGGGCGGCACGCCGCCGCCCGTGCCCGCTCCCGGACGGGTAGCCAGGCGGCTGTGAGAGAGTGACCAGCTAGCGTACCTCGCCGGCCGGAGTCTAGGTCGAATAAGCTAGGCCGGAGTCGTGCGTGGTGTGCTAGGGGTTTTTGTACAAACATGGCACTGCATGTACGTGCCAACCTGCCACGTCAATAAAACTGAACTGGATTTTCATAATTCTCAAATTTTCCCTTTTGTTAGCTTTTATTATTTTGTGCACTGCATATTCATAATTCTCTACCCGATTTGGAGAGGAATTCGAGTTCGCGAGGTGAAAGGTAGAGTCCAGGGGTGGTAATGGGCCTGCCAATGGCCCCTTCGTAATTTAGTTCAGCCATAGCCCAACCATCAGATTTGTAGGCCCAAGAAATCTCGTCCCGTTGCTCGTTGCAGTTGGAACAGCCCACCATAGGAAACTTGGACCCAGTCCTTTACTCATGTTGGGATGAGGCCATTTTACTTCAACTTTTTTTTTTTCCAGTTTCTGAAACTTTTGAAACAACCTTTTTATAGGGTATTTGGACAGGAAGCTGGACACACAAATCCTAAGTTTCTGTTTAGTCATCTCCTTGCAAGAAGATATCAAATGTTTGAAAGTTGAAACGATTGGTGCAAGGTCGAAAAGGTCCTCCCTCCATTTCGTTTTTATATGGCCTATTTATTAGGTTTGAGGAAAACTGATCCTTCACTATACTTAATTTGACCACTAATTTATGTTACAATACTTTAAGAAATGCAAAACCAATGTCTTCTTTAAGAACATGTAGCATAAATTACTACAAAACCAATGTCTTATTTAAGAACATGTAACATGTGACAACCATTTTGATGGTTGAGGTGCCAAAGTTAGACAAATCAAAACCTAAAATATTTTAATACATATAAGTGTATATAAATATTTTAATACATATGAATATTTATTAATAATAAATCTAAAAATACCCAAAAATCACAAATATCTAAAAAACTAAAGTACCCAATTAAGTCTATTTTTGACCCCTTTACTCTTGCCTTTGTCTAACTTTGGCGCTGTAGCTATCAAAACCATTGTCTCAAGAAAAGACTATCAAATTCGTTCAATTTTAACCCTCGAGATGGTTTTGAGTGGTTTTCAGATGGCTATAGGGTCAAAATTAAATAGTTTTGATAGTTGAGTGTCAAAGTTAGACGCTTTGTAGTTAGGAGTTCAAATTAGACACAAACAAGAGTTAAGGGGTCAAAATGGACTTAAATATTGGAGAAATCATGCAGCTGTGACCGAAGCACGGTATCGATCTAGCTGTGCCACCTCGTTATGCCTATCCATATGACTCTAGCCATCCAAATAAATCTATGCAACATAGGGTACGTGGGCGGATTTGATGGTTCTAACTCTAGTTCATTATCCCTCCCCCAGATTATTTCAACCAGGGAAAAAAATGAGCAAATTCCTTCATTGCCACTAAAACATATAACACTCCCTTTACTGTCATTCAAAATTATATGTTCTCTTCACTGCCATCCATTCTAAATTTCAAATTCCTTCACTACCATTGCAGTCTAACATGTAGATTTCGTTCCCTTGATTGCCATTCGTACATATATTTTGTTTCCTCCATTACCACTGAGGTAACGGAACGGCGTTAGAAGACTATCCCTACGTAAATGTTGTACCAATTTTACCCTCCTCCCGACGATGAAAACAGAGACCACGAGTGGTCTGCTCCCTCGTCCCAAATCTTCTCGAGCTAGAACCCTAGATCCCCTCCGACCCTGCCCGACGCGACGCCCGCCTCTGACACCGCCCGACGCGACGCCCCGCCTCCGACCCTGCCTCCGACTCCACCGACCCGACGCGACGCCCGCCTCCAACTCCACCGACGCGACGCCGGACCCGCCCCACGACGCCGTGCCTCCGACCCCGCCCGAGCCTCACCACCGACCCGCCCCAAGTGACGCCCCGCTCCAGCCGTCACCCGGCCGCCGGGCCTTCCCAGCTGACGCCCCACTCTAGTTGTACCTCGGCCCGAGAACTGACTGGAAGGAACCTCGGGGCGACTCGGCGGCGCTGCAGCAGCTCCTGCCGGGGGGCGACTCGGATGTGACGGCGACTCAGCGTTCTCTCATGCGGCGCCTATCATCTCCAGCCGCCTTCTCGCCGGTAACGCACCGCCCTCCTTTTCCTTCCTGTAGTCTCAGTCCTAGGGTTCTTGGGTGCGCGTTCTTGATTCCGCCCTATGGTTCTTGGGGGCGAGGAACCGGCCTTGGGTGCGATCAGATGAGAAATCCTTGTGGGCATGGAAATATGCATGTATCCATTTCCAATATGTGGTATGTGGTTGCTCAACACCTTTCACTGGTCAGATGAGAAATCCTTGTTGCCTGGTTGTATATTTTGATCATTTGCCTATAATTAGTCCATTACTGTTCTATTTCATTGTGGCCTGAATCTAGTTATCAATGTTACAAAAGACAGCATTGCAGTAATATGCTGGAGCCATCTTGTGGACCATTGTGACCTGTTCTTGTCAAACTAAGAATCATGTGTGAGCTTTCATTTATACTCAGCAGAAACTTTAAGTAGTCACTATGCAATGAATTAGCCATACTTCTTTCTGATGGATTGCCTGGAGTTATTTCCAGTTTGAATTATAGGTTTATTTCCTTTTTTTCATTTATTCAGGCCTCATACTAACAATCATTATACTCAGACTTAAGTAGTCACTACTCAATGACTTGGTCATGCAGTCATGCCTCTTTGCTTATTTACTGCCTACCATTATTTTTATTTTGATTATAGGTTTGTTTCCTTATTTTCATTTATTCAGGTATGATGTAAAAATTATAAATGAAAATCTATGAACTGAAATCTCTATACCTATATTTCGTGTTTAAATCTATTTTATTTTCTTTCATTAGTACTGATATGTTCCTTTTGAGACATGAGTGAGCATTAACTGCTAGGATTGAAGGCTAATTGGGCTCATCAATACCCTTGTCCTTGTAAATATTTCTGCTTCCTGAATCTTATAATAACATGAGAATATAATGGTTTCTGGATTCTTATCTCTGTTTTTCATTTTTAGAAGCTTTAATGATATGTGTTTAGCTTAAACAAAGACGTACATTTTTCCATCCTGAAAAGTTGATAATGCCGTTCATGTACTTGATCTGTGACTACTTTTTTGTACATAAATGTTTCTGAATATGCTCTTTTCTTTGCTTAGATACTTTCGAATTATACACCTTGTGGGCTGGATTTTCAGACTGAGACCAAGCCCTTTTGTAATCAGGTCAGTGAAATATCCCCCTGAATCCACGGCACCTGTGATATAGCAAATAACAAAGATTATTGAATTTAAACACTGTTGACTACCATATGATCATTAGGTGTGTCATGTTTGGTACCTTGGCTTATTATTGATGAGCTGTTAGTTTTAGTTTTACTCCGGACCTGAAATGCAAGGCATCCTAGGAATTCAGAATATATGATGCAGCCCTCTGAACTTATTGTGAGGTCCATATTTGAGTTGGTAATGTGTTAATGTTGCCTTTTTTAAACTGAGCTATGGGTTCCTTCACCTAGAATCTCTTATAATCAGCTACAAATTTTGAATGATTTGGCACTTGTATTCTAGGACGGTGGAAGTATATTCATTCTTGAGCGCTCTTCATTCTTTTGCTGCTGTTACCATTGTAGTGTTTGCTTTATAAGTGCAGCATTTTCTGGCTGTGTTAGCAAACTATGCATTGCAGCTAATAGCAATAACCTAATTTTAACGTGTAACTCTAGCACCTCAAAATTTGCTTTGAATGGAATGTGACATTGAAGAATGTTTAAATCCCAATTTGCTTTTACTATTGCAGTGTTTTATTAACTGTGCAACTTTTTACCCAGCTGTGATGACATTTTCTCTTTAAAGATAATTGTGCGTGCGTATCTGTCAATTTATAATTCTCACACGGAAGAGCAAACCGACAAATCAACTACTGACGCGACGCCCTCTGGATATGGATTGAGGAGACAAGAGGGACGCATGGGAACGCCGGGGCAAGTCCCCGACACATCTTGGCTTCCTGTAGGGTAAGTGCTTCGTATGTTGTTCTTAGTTCTTCACATTTAAGTACATACAACTACACTTTATTGTGTTTGCATAATTTTGCATTCACAGGATGGACCCTAAGTCCACTTACCTACTAAAAATCAGACTCACTGGAAATCCTAAAAAGCGTAGGAAACAATTTTCATGCTTTCATATCACCAAGGTTGTCGATTCTGATCTATGCAACTTTAAGGATCTTGTGGAAACAATTGTGGATGCATACCCTCATGGCTATAATGAAATAGTATCTGTTTTTTACTATGATGAGGTCCAAAAGAATTTCCCACAAGTCACAACAGATCAGAAGCTTCTTGCAATGTTCAACAAACATGTTGATAGCAAGGAAGTTCGCATGACGATTACTTACAGTGAGCCCACGGATGTTGTTTCTATCCCTGAGAGTTATACTCAACAAAATGCAGAGGTGCTTGATATCCCAAGCACTCCATCCGTGGCTTGTCCAATTCTAACTATAGCAAGCAGGTCACCATGCCTACAACAAGCAGCCCCATTGAGCCCACAACAAGCCAGCCCACTATGCCTACAACAAGCAATCCCATCCCAGGCCCACAACAAGCCAGCCTAGCACAAATGAGCCCTACTGCGCTGATGATGATTACCTAGCAAATCCAAAACCACATAATGAACATGTGGGTGTTGATGAGGAAGGTTTGTACCTAACCTATGGGAAATCTAGAGCTGCTCATAGCGATAGCAGTGACTCCGACTCTGAATCTGATGAGGAGTACCAGGAAGAGGATGTGCTAGTTGGGAAAGATCCTCTGCCACCTATACCAGTTGTAGCTTATGACAAAGAAGATCCTCCAATGGGTGTAGGCAGCATATATCCCAACATGCGTGAGTTTAGGATTGCACTATCTCAAAGATGCTATCAAGCATGAATTTGAGTTTAACATTGAAAAAGAGTGACCCGGGGAGAGTGAGGGCATATTGTTCAAGGAAGAAAGACGAAGGGTGTAGATGGAGATTACATGCTTCTACAATGAAGGACAACGTAATGATAAAGGTAACATTTGAACTGTTGTACACATTTTTTTGCTCTTTATTTTCCAACATTTGATAATCTTGTTTAAATGTATGTAGGTGGGGAGAAACCCACGTCGTCATGGTGTTCTAGTGCAAGAAGGAGCAAGGAAGTTAGGAATGCAAGCAAATTCTGGATATGCGAACAAGTAAAGGATTGGCTTATGGAAGATGCAAGCGTAGGAGCTAAAGAATTGCAGAGGCGAATAAAGGACAAGCACAAGGTATATATCAACTACAAGAGAGTGTATGCTGGTAAGGAGCTAGCCCGAACACAACTATTTGGTAGTTGGGACAGCAGGTTCAATAACTTGTATAGGTTTAAGGCAGAGGTGGAAAGGTGTTGCCCTGGCAGTTTTGTAGTAATAGATCATCACAAAATTGCTGAGAAGGTCAGATTTCATAGGATGTTTTTTGCTATGAAACCATGTATCGATGGTTTTCTCAATGGATGCAGACCATACTTGGCCATAGATAGCACATTTCTGACAGGAAAGTTTAGGGGCCAGCTAGCATGTGCAATAGCTGTAGATGGGCATAACTGGATGTATCCGATTCTTTGTTGGAGTGATAGACTCAGAAACTAATGAAAATTGGATATGGTTTTTACAAATGCTTAGAGATGCCATTGGAGCACCTACAGGCTTAGCTATATGTACAGATGCTGGTCAAGGAGTAATGGCAAGAGTGAAAGAAGTGTTCCCAGATGCAGAACATAGAGAGTGCATGCTGCATTTGGTGATGAATTTCAAGAAAAGATACAGCGGGAAAATATTTGATGATCATCTTTGGTCTGCAGCATATTCATGGAGCCCATACTATTTTGAGAAGCATTGGAAAGCAATGGAGGAAGCTAAACCATCAAAGAATGACGTATATAAAGGCGTTGGCATACTAGGATATGGACAAGAAGTCAATTTGGGACCCATTGCAAGGTTGACTATGTCACAAACAATTTGGCGAGTGCTTCAACAAGCTGGATAAAACAGTTCAAAGGGCTGAATTTGGATGACCTTATGGACAAGATCGGGCAACTTATTATGGATAAGTGGGATGTTAGAAGAAACGATATCAAGAAAGATTGAAGGACTTATTCGCCACACATCATCAAGAATTTGAAAGAGCAAAGCGGGAACTTGGATATGGATGTACAGAGAAGTGGGGATATTCTAGGTGAGGTGTATGCATCAAGGGTGGCGATGGGTTCAAATGTGTTGTCAACCTAGATGAAAGAACACATCATTGTAGAAAATGGCAAGTCTCGGAATTCCTTGCAAACATGCAATTGCATTCATAACATCTCTTCGAACCTTTGGAGAAACATGTTGACATGTATTATTCAGTTCGAGAAATTTAGAGCAGCATATGAGATTCTTATCCACCTGCTATGCACGACAAATCCCAATGGCCACAATCGACCATGGTTACTTTATGCATCCACCACTTATAAAATCTACATCCGGTAGAAGGCGAACAAAGAGAGCCAAAGGATGTCAGAGGCTAATGGCAAAGCACAACAAAGAAGAAAGGGTCACATCAATGCCCCATTTGCAAGGATTATGGACACCGTTGGTATAACTGCAAGGATGGTGACCACGAGGATATATAGCAATATGCTAGGCTGAGAAGTAAGCATTATAATCTTTACTTAGTTTGACTTGTTATTGATTTCATATTGCTTCCTTTTGAGATCTCATTGATGTTTATGTTTATGCAGGGGGCCACCAAAAAGAAGGAAGAAAACAACTGAATGTGAGAGTAGCATTGTCCCAGCTGACCCAGGACCCAAAACAATGCATTTTCCTCCTAGGTATGCCTCAATATACTTAGAGATCTGAAATTTAAATTCTGATTATTTTTCTAAAAATTGCATGTCATTTTTTTGTATTACAGCCAAAATGCCTCGCTTATCTTAGATTCTGGAAACTCTCTCAAGTATGTGCCCAATATCCAATGTTATTTGTTCTTAATTATAGCATTCTCAATATTATTCTCTAAAAGTGTAAAACTCACTCACATGCAGGTCTGGTAGTGGCTCAAACCAACCTGAGACACTTTCCATTGAGTACCCTTTATTCACTTTAGGTGAAACCACACCACCAGCTGCCACATCCATGCCTATAGTAAAGAAAAAGGGTAAAAGGAAGGCAAAGGCACAAGGGAAAAAGAAGAAGCAGCAAGTTACAACATCAACAGATAATCCAGCAATGGGGACTAGAAGCAAGAACCCTCTAAGGCAAAGCTCTGCTGCACACACTAGAAGCAAGAGAAAACTTCCAGATTTGAATTTGTAATTCAAGCAACTCATTTGTATGGTCTGTAATGTCGTGCAACCCTCTTATTTTGCTTGATATATAAACTTATGGCTGCTTATTTTGCTTAGCAAGTATGAGCCTAGTTAAGAATTAAATGGACAACAATGGCTGCTTGAACCTGTTATTTTGTTTGGTCTGTAATCCAATGAATTGCTAGTTTGGTTGGTAAACATTTGAACTAATGAATATCAATATATTATATGGATTGTTGTCATATTTCTATGCATGTGTTGAAATGTTATCATTTTTGTCACAGTATATTGCTGACAGGTCTTCAATTGATTTGCTTGTGTTCTAAAGTTCAATGGCAACCAAGGGATTGTTATAGAGAAATTTTTAATGGTAAGATTGTCTTTCACATGCTATCTAACAGCAATCTCTTTGCATTGGACGGCAATGGTAGTGAAGGGATTTGAAATTTAAAATGGATGACAGTGAAGAGAACTTATAATTTTGAATGGTAATGAAGGGAGTGTTATAGGTTTAAGTGGCAATGAAGGAATTTGCTCGAAAAAAATCCTCTGACATGTACGGAAAGAAGGAAAAAATAGTCCTGCTCATTGTTATCACAATCATTTCACCTATACAAAACTTGGTACATTCGCAGGTGGCAAAAGCTGCAGTCGTGCGTGGTGTGGTAGGGGTTTTTGTACAAACACGGTGACTGGCTCACTGCATCAGGTCGTTTAACACCGACTGGCTGTATGTACATGCCAACCTGCCACGTCAATAAATCTGGGTGTTCATAATTCTCTATATTTCTCACTTGTTTTGTGCACTGCATCTGCATGCTCATAATTCTCTTCTCTATTTTCCCCTATATTATATTTGGAAGAGGGAAAAGGCTAGGGTGCTAAAGGGCCGGCCCATGAGCCTTTCCTCATTGGAAAAATTCTACTTTGCCTCCCTTAACTATCGCAAAAATTAACTTTTGCTTCTTGAACTAGAAAACTGGCATAACTCCTCCCCCATCTTTTCCAACCAGACATATGACCTCCCGGCTATTTCTCTATGTGGTTTTCTCTTTTTCTTTTATATTTATTTTAGCTGAATCTTTGAAAAATCATAGTAAGTTACAGAAAACTCACAAAATAGAAAATTCGATTTTGTTGGACTCCACATGAGTAGATCTACACAGTAAATATATGAGTAGATCTACACAGTAAATATATGATGTTGGACTCGCTCATGCTTTAGTACGAAATTTTTGCTCTAGCTTTAGATCTAAGCTTTTCTTTGATTAATTTATAGCTGCAGTTTCTGTGGTCCTATTGTGGTAAACTTTTTATAGTGGACTAATCATTGTATGTTGGAGATTAAGTAAAAGTTTCATGCTCATTGGACCATGTATAACTGAGTTATAGATTTATTTAGGTTTATGCTTATTAAATAGTTTTAAAATAGTTAAAAAGTGTGTAAAAAATATAAATATGTGTTCTCCATGTAATATTACTATTGTTATATCGAATGAACACTTAACATAACCATGTTGTCACCGAGAACATATATTTTCTATTTTTACACACTTTTAATTATTTTAAACTATTTAATAAGCATAAATCTGAATAAGTCTATAACTTAGTCATACATGATCCAATGAGCATAAAATTTTTACTACCTCTCAAGTATACAATGATTAGTCTACCATAAAAATTTCATCATAATAGGACCATAAAAATTGCAGCTATGAATTAATCACATAAAAGCATAGATCTAAAGATCGAGCAAAAACTTTGTACTAAAGCATATCATATCATATGTTTACTGTATAGATCTACTCATGTGGAATCAAACTAAACTGGATTTTCTATTTTTTGTTTTTTTTCTATAATTTATTATGATTTTTTTAAAGATTCAGCCAAAATAAATACAAAATAAAAAAAAGAAAAACCACCTAGAGAAAAGCCAGGGAGGTCATATGTCCGGTTTGAAAAGATGGGGGAGAAGTTATGTTCGGTTTTCTAGTTCAGGGAAAAAATTGACTTTTGCGATAGTTGAGGGAGGCAAAGTAGACCTTTTGCTTCCTAATTTTGGGTAGCACTTTACCTATATAAGCCATAGCCCAACCATAAGATTTGCAGGCCGAAACAAATATGGTCCCGTTACTATCAGCTTGATGGAACCGTACTGGGCTTCAATTTAGAACAGCTCACCATAGGAAACTTGGACCCAATCCTTTACTCTGCATGTTGGGACGATTATACTTCAATTTTTTTTCCCAGTTTCG